ATCAACCTGAATGGACTGGAAATTTTGCCCTGTGTTTGTCATTCATGTGCAGATGTAAGGTGTCTGTGCATGACATCTGCCTTTTTCGTAACAGCGTGTTACTTCTGACTCATGTTCTGCTTGCGATCTGTCAGTAAACTGGAGTTTTCTCCAAGGAATTGCTACACAGCCAGTTTATTTCCTCTCCTCCATCTGCACATTCAGTTTTTCTTCTCTCAGTTGTAATAACCTTGTACTTCCCAGGTTGAATTGCATTCTTCTTTTTGCCTTCAGATCTTTCTAAAATGTATCATAACCACCGGGATCATGACAACCTCCAGTGCAGTACCTGGCTCTCCTAGATCTTGTTATCTACAGATGTAAAAAGCAAATACTCTCTTCCATTCCCCTGGTCACTAACAAATATACTGACTAGATGAGACTCAGAGCAGATGCTAGTGAAATCATGGCCACTACTAATAGCAATTCTTTCACTCCATAATTATTTTGTTCTGTGAATTATGATTTAAAGAGGGGAAAAAAAAAATCTACCTAGTACCTGTACACATGCAGCTTTCCTCAAACTACCATCACTTCCTAACGAAAATATAAGACAGCATCAGAAGTGACATGTAAATTAGGAGCAAAAGAATAAGTTCATAGTTGTCACTGAACCCATGCATGGCCGTAGACACATCTGATCTCCATGTCTAGGTTTCCTCATCTGTCAGATTGTTGCTCTCTAAAACATCTGAGACCAAGAGATAGCAAATACTATCAGTTTAAGAACTAATATTATTATTATGCTGGAGAATACCCTTTTAATGCAAATTACTCGTAGCAATTATGCCATGCATCTTTTATAGAAATATTACATTGCATAATTACATACACATGTATTTGTATAACTAATAGTTACACAATAATTAATTAAATAGCTTTTGTTTCTGTAACCGTCAGTCCTTTTGACAGATGAAATCTACAAGTCTCCTTGGGGTTTATGCTCTCTTAAGTCTGAACTCCGGCATAACACGCAGCAATGAACATGTTATACACGTTTCTTTCCAAGAGCCAGGAAGTTCCTTAACCTAATGACAGCAACGACTGTGATGCTTTTTGGACAATCACATTAACAGGTGGGACAACTTACAGAAGAACTAACAAGGACAATACTTCTCACCCTGCAAATGCAAAGTGCAATGAACACCTATAAAAGACTGAAAAGAAAATGTTTCAAGCAGCAATTCAGATCAATGTGGATCTTACCTTGAAAATATAGGGCTGCTGAAAACTTGGTGTACCATAACAGAGAACAAAGAGAGCTCAAATCAAGCCATCCTTCTAAATAAACCTGACAAGCTTTTATTACAAGAAAACTGAATTAAGCAAAAACCGGAGAGAAGTGCTTTATCTGACATTTGGGATTTTAAAAGACTGAGAAACAGGAAGAAATTTACAGAAAGAAGAACATGTAAGGTCACCACCAATAAGAATTGGGTTTTATTCAAGCTATCGACAATAATTGAATTGTAGTTTCCTGCCTCAGCCTAGAGTTGTCAATTAATTGAGCCTTGCTTGCATGTGAACATTGCTAGAGGCCTCTTAAAGAATCAGTTGATTACAACTTTTTTTTTTTTTTTTGATTCTGAAGAGTGAAACAGCATCCCTCCTTCTCAATTTATGTAATGATCATCTATGCAGGTTTTATTAAATTAAAGCCTCACTCCAATTGATTCACATTTGCCAGATGCTGTCAGGACCGCCGACAGGTGCGTGTTGCCCTCCAGGTCAGCTTGAAATCGCCACGAGAAGGGCCAGTCTGCAGCATCAGAGCTGTCCCAGACTCCTGAATGACCCCCTGCCCCCCCCACCCCGCGAGGCAAGAGGAACATTACAAGAGGAAGCCACGTACAACAGCCTTGCAGGGATGGGGAAACAGATGCAAAATGGCACCTCTGCATAGCAACAAAAGAGACAGTGACTCAGGATGTCACCGCAATCTGCTTTTTAAATGCTTCTGCTCCAGTACGTACCCTGGTAGAGATACTTCTACAACGAATGCTTTTCATAGCTTAATTTCAGAAACTACCTGGAATAGGACAACGTTATTAATATCATAGCACGTTATTAAAAAAAAACAGCCAAACCACAAAAAACCCAAACCACTAGAAGAGCTTGTTAAATGTCATATTAGCAAACAGTTTAATTTATTAAAATGACACCAGCACACCTGTGTGCTTCTACAACAGACACAGCATTACACGTAACAGGTAAAACGTGGTAACATTCTCAAGGAAGCAGTATCAGGCTCATTAGCACAGAAACACAAGAGCAGCAGTATCTTACATCACCTCCCAGCTCAACCTTCTTCTACGTGGTGATTCTGATACTTCTCTGCAGAGCAGGCGGTCAGTTGAACGCAAGTGTGTGTATATGCTTCCTAATCAGAGACAGGTGAATAAAGCCCTATACTGTCAAAGAGAAGGCACGTACGCCTCCGATGTCAGTGTAAGAAGGAAGTAAGTGTATTAACACGTTTATGACCCCTGGGGGCCTGGGCAGCTGTGGCAGCACAGGAAGTGGAATTCTACATTTTCATCACTCTAAAAATGTGAGATTTACAGGATGCATATGGAAAGATCAAGTTTCTCATATCATGAAAGATCCTGACCCAAGAAGACTTGCACACCTGAGTAATACGCTCATAAGAATGACGAGACTCGTGTAAGTCTTTGTAAGAGGAGAGTCTTAAAAATACATTTGTGGTAATTCAGGACCAGACCTTTCTTCTTTACTGGTTAACTTCACTGAAATTAACTCAACCTGGCATTCTGTCAGCAAAGGAAAACACGAGACGTTATTAAATCAGAAGACACTGAAGGTGCAAATACAGTGCAAAAGTGTTGGGTTTAGTTTTTGACTGTTACAGCCTGACAATTTTATAGTCTGTGCTTTATTTTCAGGGAAAAGCATAGTTGTCGTGTGTCATAATATACACACTTGCATATATATGTATACAAACACACACTTGCTGCAGAATGCAAAGGCTTCCAGTCGCATAGGATTTGTAGCATTGACTTCTCACATGCAGGTTATTTTTCATATAAAAATGAACCAGTTTTAAAGGTGCCCCCTCCCTCTGCATACTAAATGTATTCATTAATATATATTCACATGCATTATTACCCTACCCAATCATTGATTTATATTAACCAGATCTTTTTTATTTTTTTTTTTTTGTTAATAAATTATCTTAGTTGCAACACCTAGCCAGAACATTCCGGCGACCACAGTACTCCTGGGTTTTATGGTAACTAAGTTGTCAGTTGGCAGAACACTCTTAATGTAACAATTACAAGTTTTGTTTGCTTCATATTGCTTCATTTTTAAAAATCTTTTTATGTACAATCTTCGCTGTTAGTACACTTCAGATTTACTAAAATGCAGTAAACTAGGAGAGCTCATTATTCAGAAGCATTTAGTCTTTTTTTTGACATTACATGGAAGCCGTCAGCAACAACTGTTGTACGGAGCATTCATCAGGTTAACAAACAGTGCACATTAGCTATTATGAGATGAAACTGTTTTCTAAACAGCTAGTAGACTTCACAAAACAAATTATGTGTGACACAGTCACTATCCTGCCGAGACAGCAGGAGGACGTAAGAACAAAAGCGACTCTAGGGTCAGTTTCTAGCCGTATTAATGTAGCTTTGGTTCAGAAATTCTTTAAGTGTTGTAGAGCACCTGGTTTAGTGACAAAACACATGCGTCTCACAGTGCTAACAGTATAATGCTAATGAACTATAAACTGCAGGTTTCAAATATTAATAGCATTTAATAAAAAAATTTACAGAAATATTCTTGTTGACAAATGTGCAGTACAAACGCAAGCTCCTTGGCTGCAAACTCAAATTGTGTGCATCACTTTTGTGCTGGCGTAACAGTGCAAGTGCTGGGATTCAAGTACACTTTTCCTTATTTATGTTAAGCAACAGAGATTACATGAAGAAGTTTGGGGGATTTTCTGCTCACAAGGCCAGGACGTGAGAATCAAGCGAAACATTGCAGTAATTTAAATGTTTGATTTCCCTCATCTAGAAGGCAATCTAAATGAGGAAAAACACATTTCACAATCCAAGCAGCTTCATATACCATCAAGTTATTGCTTCAGCTAGATCAGCTGTGCTAAAACACAGGACTACAGGTTGCCATCTAATCTCCACTCACATGAAGAGAAGACGAAATCTACAGTGCAAATCCTCCATGCGAAATGATCAAATCGCAAGACCAGAGTCCTGTTTCATAGGACAGAATTTATTAATAGTTCAGTTTTGTCTACGAATTTTTTTTTTTGTAAGTCAGTTAGATTGAAGTCAAAAGTACATTGTTTATGATATTTCTGTGTTACTACTTCATGCCAATTTAGATCTGCTCAGCAACAGAACATAATATGAACACTTGTTTCCAAAGAACTGCAAAAGTTATTGCTGAAATTTTTAGGGCCAAAATTAAAAACTATTTCATAAAACCAAATCTTTACTCCATTAAAAAAAAAAAATCCTATTAATTAAAAAAAAAACAAAAAAAAACCAAAAAAAAATCCCAAACCCCAAACTTAATAGCTTTTTTCAATTAAATAATAATCTAAGATTTTACAAGATATTCACATTCAGGCAACTGTTTCCTGACTTTCATCTGGCTGAATGACAGACGCCATAATAAAACCAAGAACGCTGCTCTCACATTCTTCATGACAGCAGTGATTAGTGCAATTTACCACTGCACTACACAGCTCTAATAGTGCAAGGTGTGTCTGCTGACAACGTTTCTCACTATCACCTGCTACATGACCATTATTCTCAGGTGTCTGTAACTGTTATTCTCATTAGAATTTTGGCATTTATGTTAACATTTATGAAAAACTATGGCTTTATCCATGAAATATATATCCTGCCTAAGCAAAATTTTTAAACCATTTCTTTAAAACAATAAAACTGAATTGGAATGGAAGTTACTTGTTTATGCCATAAACTGTGTTGCCACTAAACTCAAGATCTCAGGGTTAGCTACAGACCACCCATATGTGTATTTGTGCATCTGTTACAGTCTTCAAAAGTATATTTAAACATAACACTGATAAAACTTCACTCTTAATTTTAAATCTAATTCTAATTGTTTATCTTATTTTTTGCAACATGTTTAATTACTTGTATCCAAAGTGTCATCTGAGTATCACTGTATTACAACAGGATTGGGGCTGTAAGAAATCCATAAATGCATACATAAGAAGGCACTTGTCTTCCAGTAGTTCAAGTCAGAGAAGGCCTTACCCAGACAGTGGCACCTTACACTTTGAAGGATTAGCAAATGTCCCCAGGCTTTGACACAGTCTCAAAACCTGTCTTCATGTCCCTGGACAAAGGTGCTGCATGTGGTCTATAATACCATGAAGCTCATGATGAATTCCAGTAGTTTTTGCCTGTTGCGCTGAGGTAGGAACGTAGTGCTTAGTTCCAAAATGGTGTCTTTTCTTTGTTTTGTCTGATTGAAAACCTGAAGCAGAGCATGAACATATCACCATGTTAAAGGAATGTCCTTTCTTTTGTAATGAAAACTTTATGGTCTATACTAAATGTCCTGATTTACAAGACTTCCCCCCCTACACCCTTTCTTGAAGGCTTAGATGGCAATGCCTTTAAATATTAGAATTCACTCAATGTTGAGCCATTCAAGTGGTACAGAAGAGAAACTGAGAAATAAGCAGTGTATGATAAACAGCCAACTCCTAACAGCAAGGGATAAAACATGCACTCAAAAGGCATCTGAATTGAAAGTGTAAGCACTTTGAAAACAAGAATTCAGATGCTATGGTCTGAACAGATGCTCAGCAGATGCCATCTACTTCCACTTTTCCAACAGCAGAATAAAATAGAACTAAACCGATGGATTTGATATGTGCTTTCTTCACAGCTCTTGCAGCCTACAGGAAGATACCTTTATGCTAGGCTTCACTACAGGCTAACTATTCTTAAGATTATGTAACACATCAGTTTAAAGGCAAAGACTTCAGTACCCTTATCTAGCAATACTTTGCCTAAATGCTGATGCTTTCAAAATTATAATGCTAAATCCCATCTGGCATTCAGGAAACCATGTCATGCTGATAAAAGAAAAACTCTTCATTTGCAAAACCTAGCTAGGTAATTTAAAATTCAGAATGCTAATGGTAAAGTGCAAAACTGATCCTTCATTTTACAAGTTCACCTGTATCCTCTTGGTGTACTGTGGAAGTCCATTAGGCTGGTTCTCCTGGAGCATCAATCACTGCTAAGCCAAAATTCAGTAACTAATACTTTTTGAAGATTTTAAGTAGTCCTTCAAAACTAAATTTAGCTGTTACTAAGCACAGAGCATGCTCTCAGCCTTCCAGCATTGTCACTGATGTCCAATAAAGACATGGAGTAGAGCAGAGGAACTTCATTTGCTGTAAATAAAAATGTCTAGTCACCTAGCCCTCACCTAGACAAGTTTTCTCAGGGGCAAGAATTGCCCTCTTCTGCAATGGGTGCTCTTGTCCTACAGCCCTGAGCCTTAAGGAAAGCAAAATGCTGAAAACCCACAATACATTTGCGCAGATACATTCACAGATTTTAAACTGACACTGAACAGGTTCCACGAATTGCCAAAATTGCACTCATTATTAAAATGAAACTTAACAGTCTCCAGCTTTGAGCACTGAACTTACCCCAATTTCCTTAAAGACTTTCACTGCATTTTTCACGTGACTGTAGGTAGCACTCTCAGCTGCAAGGAAAAAAAAAATCCAGAGATAAACAAAATGCGATTGAACTTGGGCTACCTTGTGCTAGAAGGAACAGAACGAACCAAACCCAGTTCAACATACCATATACAGCAACATTCTTCTCCGTCCTGCTTATTAAGTGCCTGTGCAACTTTTGAAGGTACTCAGACTCTGAAACAGGACCACTAAAATTGTGAACAAAGATGACAGCAGAGCTATATGCCTCCAGTAAAGGTCCCAATAACCTCTGTAGGAAAGTGATGTACTGCTGGTGCTCTTGAGACTGGCTCACCTAAGAAAGGGCAACAAGAGCTTAAGTGACAGAGACCACTAGAAACAAGAAATGACCTGCAACACAGTACACAGCAAAATGGCAGCCAAAATAATTCTTAGTACAAAAATAAGTAGGGTGGCAGAACACATGAAAGCACAGCAAAAAAGCAGTTTACCACAAGGGACAAAACAGGCACTACACATCACAGGTCAATGCTACTTTTTTCTCCTCTAGGATATTAATAATTATTTTCCTAAGACAACATTAAAGACACGATACTATTCTGCAGCCAACTGAAAGGTTGTTGTACGTTCCCAGAGATGGGCGTAAGTTCCAAGTGTTAACAAGATGTCCTAAAGACTGTTTGTATCAGCTCTGTGAGAAAACTGGTAATATGTCTAAAATCAACATCATAATCCACGAAGTGAAATTTAGGGTGAAAATAAATACCAGCCCATTTACAGTGCATGCTGTCAGTAAAGAATAAAGCACTTAGATGCTAAGACACTTGAGCCTTCATCAGTTTTCATGAAACTAACCATTGTCATTCCACCTCCCTATAAAATTATTCCATGTTTCTTCAACTGTTTTCCTCATGAGAAGGAGAGAAACGTGTTTTACTGACTGTAGAAAAATAGACAGGCTAACACTGCGAACCGGCAAAAAAAATTATCACGACCCCGCCCGAACTAGCAAGGTTGTTTGCGTCTCTCGCAACAGGCTTCAATGCTACTAGCCTTAGGATAATATCACCTTCAGGTAGCAATCTCTCTGTTCTTCTCCAAAATCACTGTCTTCATCTTCCTCGTCACTTCTCCAAGATAATGGCTCAGGGAGTTTTTTATCCCATTGCTGTTCTGTAAGACTGGGGCTAACATCCTCCTGATCATCCTGCTTAAGTTTGAAAGACAAGGTGGTAAATAGGTAAAAAAACCCAAATCCAGGCAAACAATAGTTCTATTTCATAATCTCATCTGACTTAATCAGTCCACTTGTTAACCAATATTTAATGAAAGCAGGTGAGACCCAATTACAGATAGACAGGGTTGAGACAAGCAAAGAGAATCACAGAATCACAGAATGATTTGGGGTGCAAAGGACCTTAAAGATCATCTAGTTCCAATTCTTTAATTTGCCTGTCAAATAGAAGAGAAAATCTTTGCAAGTGTTGCTAAATTTTCCTACCAAAGGCCAAGCAGTTGCCAAGAAAGTGTTTCCAGCTGAGTTAGGATAGAAAGTTGAGATGCTATCTAGATACGGACGTTGCTAATCTCCATACTACTGTTTAACAAAAGACAGAGTAGTAAACTCTGTGTTACTATATTACAATAGTAAAACCGGAATTAATGCAGAATACCACAAGTTGCTATTTGGAAGTGGTAACTTACTGACTCTAAGGATGCTGTTCTTGCAGTTGTCCCCATGTGAGATATTGGTTGAAACAGAATGAGCTACTTTTGATCTCAAAGGCCCCAAATTGTCTAAACCTTGATTACTTTGATGCGGTACATCAGAATTTTAGGTGTACAGTAACCAAGGTGCAACAGAAATATTCCACCTGACTGACTGATGTTTGATGCAACATTCAATTTAAACAATGCATCTTCAGAAATTAGTTTTAGAGATCGTAAACACTCGAAAGAGTAAGGGAAGCCTTAATGTCAATCATTCACCAGTATTTGTTTTGCTCAAAGTAGCAGAATACAAAGATTTTTCAAAGGTCACCAGTGCTAAGTCACTGAGGAAAGACCCCCATACAGACACCTTGTAGATTTGATTAATGTCATAATACTTATAAGAAAGAAAGAGGCCTCTGCAGCAAATGAAGAATGACTCCAATCTTACACTCTGATCAAATGCTTTATTTTGAATGAAGCAAAGGTCACAAAGTAAGTTTAAAAAAACACCAGAGATCGCTATCCATTGGGAATATTTCTTAGTTTTAGAAGTAGACACTAGAATCACATGAAAATAATTTAAAAGAAAGCATGGATCAATCAAGTTCAATGTAGCTGGAAATTTGTCAATGTGCTAATGTCAGCAGTAAACTGAAATAATTAGAAGGGGCAGAAGCTAGCTACCTTTCTTAAAGAATAGGTTATAAAAACCCCACAAACATTTTCAACTTGTCCAAAATCATGAAACAACCACTGCTTACAGTGTTTGCACTGATTATGCTAATTCTTAATGTTTTAAAAGTAGTAAGCAGGTACAGAGGCCTTCTAAGTTTGAGAAATTCACTGTCTTTTTTAAGCATTCAAATGTTGCACTGGTGCTGTATATCAGACAACACAGACAAATATTTATATTCTGCCTAATCTCTATATCCCAGCTATAAAGAGCAAAGTACCAGACTCAGCAACCAAAACTTATACAAGAACCCTCAAGACAGGGTTGAGTACACAAGAGGTGCCTATCTACTGCTGTCCAGACCTATTTTCCTCATGTCCCCAGGCATGGAACACACAAGTTTCTTCCTAATTCTTTGACTAGCACTCATTTCTGGATTTAGAACCATATCATAGAATCACAGAATGGTTTGGGTCAGAAGGGACCTCAAAGACCATCTAGTTCCAACCCCCCTGCTATGGGCAGGGACACCTTCCACTACACCAGGTTGCTCAAGGCTCCATCCAACCCGGCCTTGAACACTGCCAGGGAGGGGGCAGCCACAACTTCCTTAGGTAACCTGTTCCAGTGTCTCACCACCCTCAGGGTGAAGAACTTCTTCCTTGTATCTAGTCTAAACCTGCCCTCTCCCAGCTTCCAACCATTACCCCTCGTCCTATCACTGCAGGCCCTTGTGAAAACTCCCTCCCCAGCCTTCTTGTAGGGACTCTTCAGGTACTGCAAGGCCGCTACGAGGTCTCCCCAGAACCTTCTCTTTTCCAGGCTTAACAATCATTATTTATCTAATAATGATTACAAACTAATGCATGACAACATGTCAGTAGTTCAGATAAAAAGCAAGCAGTAGTAACTCCAAAGAAGGAAAATTTTTAATAGCCGAGTATATCACGTAAATAATACCTATGGTTATATATATTAAGAATGGAAGCATGTATCAGAAAGTATGTAGTGAGATTAGAATGAAGCAGTGGCCATTAACGAATACACCAGAAAGCAGCTCTAGCCTTCTTTGAAACTGGAGAGCTACAAGAAGAAAGCAGCTAAACATGTAACTTTTTCCATGTGCTCTTTAAATTCTTTTGCTTCCTCCTGGGCACCAAGGTGTGTTTACTGTGCACAAAAAAAAGTTTGGGAAGCAAAGGTATGCTGAGTCAGCTGCCCCCTGGTCCCCAGGTTTCTTTACAGTGTACACCACTGTCAGATTGCACCACACAGCGACTCCAGTACATCCCTGAAACTGCAAATTGTTCTAGCAGAGGAGGTTTACAATAACTTTGAGACTGATGCAAAGAAATCAAAGAATGACAAAAGATCTGGACTACTGACTCCTGTAGAATAGAAAGTAAACATCGTTGAAGTTATGCTACAATATGAAAGGGCTCCAATAATAAAATAAATCCCCATTTTACAAATCAGTATAAAATATGTGTCTTCCTTAGTAGGTTCAATGGTACAATGAAATTACACATTCACAGCATCATAGGATGTCTATACCCAAATGTCTGATGCTTACAAATGTAAGAATGAAGTAGTATCAGTCTTGGACTTGTTAAGTTGCTACAAGCTTTCAGTAACAGCATATATTTAGAACAAGACTCACAACTAAGAAGCATAAACTACCTAAGGCTAAAGTCAAGTACAGAAAAACAAAGCTCACTTAGTATCTCTATCGCCTTACCTCAGCCACCAGAAGAATGCCATATTGTATCAGCCGTTCCACAGATTCATGGCAAACTTGATATATCACCTGGCAAGGCTGCGCAACATAAAAGAAACACACCGAAAAAAGTCACATCCATTATACCTGTTACAGCAACACCAGTTCCCTGTTCAGTATGAATGGTTTAGATACAGCAGTATTATTCCTTTTAAACAAGTTATTAAACTTTTACTAGCACAACCCCAATGCACTACTCTTAAGTTTATCCTAGAAGACATTAAAAAAATTACAGTGAAATAGGGTAGTTAAAATTTGTCCAAGCTTTTTGAAGAAATGCATTACTACACTGGTAGAAAATCACATTAAATATTCTTCCCTCTTAATTGCCCCTAACCAAATTTTAGTTTGTTAAAAAATCCTCATAAAACTAAAATCATTGAGACTCGTACCAGTGATTTATTTGGAATTTAAAGGAAAGTACACTTTCAAGAAATTCCCTTATGTGTTTTGAAAAGCTGAATAAAAAGCCAATCTCTTCTACATTGTTCATAATCATGCAGGAAAAGTGTTCTAAGTTTAAAAAAAAAAAAAACCCAAACAAAACAATTATTGACTCTGAAAGCAGAACAATAAGATTACTAAAGAACCTCACCATACAAGCTACATTACTGCCCAGACAAAAATACTAAAGTTGGCTTATGCTTCATTCAAAACAGCACGAGTCAGAAATACATGTACAAATTTAAGAATTAATTCAAGAACCTCTAGAATTCTAAGTTCTACACATAAGAAAAAAAATATCTAGCACTTAAAACTGCAAGTATACAGAGTGTTAAGTATACAGACAGTCTGAAAACTGAGATAACATCAGCTCTCCTCAATGTTTTGTAAAAAAACCAAAAGCAAAGTCAGGCCATGTTTAAAATTGCCACTAAGTACTAGGTGTGGCACACTCTGACTATTGCACTCCTATGCAAATTAAGAGTATCTTTAGAATCTGGAGCTTTAGTTCCCAGTGTAATTTCAATCATCTATGCAAATTCATATAAGTTGGGTACTCTAAAAGACTTGCATTTGTTTAAGTGAAAAATATTTAAATAGTTGGGGCAGAATGCAGATATCATTGTGATGGTCTAATGACATAAGCGACACAAAATCTGTTAAAAGGCATTAAGAAGCTCAACCTCAAGTTGTGGGAAGCTGTCAGGCATACAGTAAGCAGCTTTTCTTTCTCAGGAAAGGCCTAAAGCCAGCACAGCAGAAATGCTGCAGGCTCACCCCAGCATCACCCACTTCAGCACTTGCAGTAGCAGCAGGCGTGCTCTCAGTATGTATCCTCGAAACCAGATCAACTGATTTTGTCACACCTTGACAAGGAAACAAGGTAGTGACAGGAGTCTGGCAAGTTAATTCATGCGTTATCTTAAGCCAGGCATCTTTTGGATGAACTGTTTTGACGGAGCTACATTCGCCAAAATGTTCAGACATTTTCTTGAAGCAAATGGGAACAATGCTATCTTCCATTTTCAAATTATATTCAACCTCTTGATACCCATCACCATCAGACTGTACTTAGAGTGAACATATCAGACCTGTGACATTTGAAGAAAGCATCAATTAATTTTAAAGTAACATATGCAGTTACAAGCAGAACAAAAATTTGAAACATGGACAATTAATGCAATTACTTACTTACCAAAGATATAGTAAATTCGTTAGAAAGCAAGTAACACAAGCTGGCAGCTTTTCGGACCAGGTGTTCTTGACTAATCAAACTGGGAGAAGCACCGTTGGTACCATTTCTGTACCTCCTACTCTGAACTGCATGAAGACTGCAGGCTAGAGCAGAAACAAACATAAGCAACGTTTATTTTTCCAAAGAGCTTTATAGCAAATGAAACTTAAAACTTTTGTTTTGTCTATTTCTGGGCCTAAAAGCAGTCAAACATTACATATGCAACTGAAAACTAAAGACAGAATTCACCACTACTTTTTGTCCAATTAATGTCAGATCAAGACAAAATCTCATTAAAATATTGCTGATCAAAGCACAGGTTTTGCCATGTTGGCTCAAAACTCTGATAGTGTGCTGCTTATGGCAGTGGCCAACACACAAATACTTTCAAGAGGATGATGGAAAAAATTACTGGAAACATTCCACAACCAAAACAGAAGTTTACTTCATTGTTTTTGTTAGGGTATACTTGGGCTGAAGCAGGGAGGGAAGAAATATACAAAAGTAAATTATATTAAAAAGTGATGAAGTTTGTTTGTGCAGATACTTGGACTTCATGTGTTACAGGAAAGTCTTTCCTTGGTAAACCACAAAACATACCAATAATGGCCTCTTTAATGAACACATGAAGTACTCCATTGCTGTAGAAGTTGAGTTCAAAGACAGCAGGTATCGTTGTGCTGGGAGTGATGAAGAACTCATTGTTTCGGCTAGTGTTTGTGATATTTACACAGTTCCCCAACAAGTGGATGGCATGCATGACAACATCATCCGAGTTCCCTGAAAATCCCAAGTCAAAGTCACGAGCTAAGACCTCCTCCTTCATGGAGAAGAAATCTTCTACCAACCTGGAAAGATCAGTTCCCTAGAAATAAAAACAGAATCACACAGTGAAATAAATTTTCTGCACAGGAGTTTATCTGTAAACCACACAACCATGTATATAGCAAACACGTAAACAATACACTAATTGTCAATAATCCAAAGCACAATAGTCACATCAGAAAAAGTTATTTTCACAGAGGTTTTGCTGAAATAGCCCACAGATTTTGAATTACATACGATTATATTTTAAAGCCATGCAGCTATTTGGGAATGTAAGTTTTTTGTTGGCTTCTCAGTTTATTTCACAACCTGCAGAGACCTGATTTGTTCTTTAAGAGCATGTTAGAGATACCATATCTCCATTACCTATTCTATAAAACGAATTATCAATTATCTGGGAATATTGTAACAAACAGAACTGTGCTTTTCCTCAAGCACTTCCTTTCCTTCTTTTTTGCCAAGATGGCTTCAGATCACATTGTAAAATGCTTCTTTGATCTTACTGTTTTAGGAAATTGGAAAGACTGGATTGACAGGAATGGTGATACTGTCCTTGACAAGCAAGATTACATATCTGACCAATATTTTTCAATTTGTTCTCGATTTATGTGCCGTAAAACCTTCAGATTAGAGAGAGAAGGAATTTCAGAAAAAATGCAAGACACACTCGTTGGAGAAAAAAAAATTCTTCCAAGCCCCATGCACAAGACTTAAGTTGAAATTAGTATTGTTCTGCCATTGTGACATAACAGTACTGAGGAACAGCAAAAGTAGTTTGAAAAATAACAGAGGAGTTTCTAGCATATTCTTTGGTGAATGTCTTTGTGATCTAAAAAACAACCTTAATACAATGAATCAAAACCATGTATTCTTTAAAAAAAGCATAAGTACATTCTGAATTACAAAAATCTGTTTCCACATGAGTATTTATTATCATCCCATCAACAACAGCTTACCTTCAAGCATTCACTACTAACTAAAATATTAGCACTCAGACTACCTGAAATCCATTTTAAGGTAAAAGAAGAAAGATGCGTTTATTAGTATCATGCAATAGTAAAATGTACATTTATTTATTTTTTTTAAAAAACAAGGCCAAAGTAACGTTTGGCTATTTAAGCAATGTGGAAGCCTTACCTGCCTGTGTCGGTAGAGCAGCAAACAGGCAACGATGTGGGTAGACATCACAGCACAGGACTTGTTAGCAGCTAGAGGTAAGCAAGGTAAACTGAGATGTTCAGAACATCATTACAAGTGAAACAGTACCCATCATTTAGAAAAAAAACCCCACAATAATAGTGATACTGGCACAGAACTATACCTTCTCAATGAAATATGAAGTGTACTTTAGTACTGTTACTATAGAACCACAATAATCAAATTAAAGTAACTTGAACTAAGAAGGGTGAGTAAAGTTTAAATGTTTACTAAATTAAGTACCATTTTGTCTGCATCTCTTATACCACAAACCACAGATCTACTGACTGAAGCATGCACCACATGACCTATAAAACCTGGCAGCACTGGTCCATGCAGCTAGATGAGTTCATGTGAGTATGATCTTAAATAATGCCATTAAGACATTGCAGTAACTTCTTACACGAAGTGGTAAGAAATCAAACACTTGAAAGTACAGCAAGTTCAGCTTACTAGTCCAAGAAATACAAAAGATAACAAAACAAACAGAATAAGAAGCTGGTATGTAATCAGAAAGAAAATATAAAACTTCAAAGAGGAAGGAGCGAGGCAAAGGATGGAGAACTGTCAAGAGAGCGTTTTAGTCACGGAATGATCACCTGAATGGAGGGAACTGGGAAATATGACATTACCAAACAGTAAGTTAGTTCATGCAATAAGCAAAACAGGTAGCTGACAGTGATACTGTAACACTTACTGAACAAAATATGCTCAGCCAAGTTGGATATCAGCTCTCTTCTGAAGGGTTCACTGGTAATATCTCTGGAGCTGGGCAGTGAGGCCTCTGTACCTTCATCCACAGTCTCATTAGGTCTGAATACAGAATAAAAATTCACATTATTACCTTTAGATTTTGATAAAATGTGAAATAACCTAGATTGACGTCTATTTTTTTATACACTAACTGAATTACAGCACAAAAAAACCCAGCAAGCAGTCTGGTAAGGGCACAAAAATGTGCAACAGGCTCCACAAAAATTTTAGTATCTACCAACTTTTCCAGATTCTTTCTTCAAACTAAACAACAATCAAAGACTACCAAAAGAAAAACTGCAACCTTGTCCTATGGCCATTCATGACTTTGCCATTACATCATTTGTAACCCACACCTCTTTTCGCTTCAATGAATATGGACAACAGTAGATTAAGCAAATCTGCCTAAAACGCAGTTTCCAGCCCAGCCTCTTCACAAACTAGAAATGGTCTTTTGTATGGACCTACAACTTTCTAAACATAAACGACTGACTTTGTCTCTACCAGGATCACATAGGTTTGCACAAGTCCAGCAAAGACCTCAACTAAAATGTGTATCTGTGTAACAAATGAGATCTAGCCCTTGAGCAGTTTTGCAGTTGAATGACAGTCACCTCTGTGAGCAAGGGGTACTCACTCCCAAGTCCTACTTGCTTTGGAATTATACCAAAACCCACCTGATACGTTTGTGAGTTTTAAAAATAAATCCTTTATTTTTCATTGCGTTCTTTTTTCCCCCTAAGCTATTCCATAAAATTTAAAATTAAACCAACAGAGGTCACAAAAAATTAAGAAAAAAGAAAGACTCCTCAAACTTAAACAGAGCTCCCCAAAAAGAATGCAGCTCTCATAGTAAATTGCACAGTCACAATTGCCTAAGTTTTTAGTTTTTCTATACACAATTAGGTTACCCTTGGGGAGTTCAAGCGCTGCTTGGAATGTAATGCAGAACACTAAAGGCAAACAAACCAACCAACCAACCAGCCCCCAACCTGCCTCCTTCTCCCCAACACCCAGAAAAATTGCTACCTGGATGGAAGTATAGCTGGTAACAGAGCTTGTTCCAAAGAGAGAGGAGCAGGCACAGGTTTTTGGCTTTGGCTGTTCACATATTCCTGTTAAGAGAAGACTTGTTATTTTTTGCACTTTACCCACCTTATTCTTGCATTCAACTGATAATACAATTATATCAAAAAGGAAATTATTCAAAAATGCAACTGTGATTAAAACCAGTTCACACTAAAAGAGCAGTAAGGTCACAAATTAAATGTTTTCAACAGTTTATTCGCTTTTGATTTTATTTCATGGCAAACTTTCCACAGCAATAAATCTGTACTTCACAAAAACCACTGCAACAAAAACAACAAACACGTAACCCCTGTCAGCACCCTGCTGGGAACAACTCCTTTGAGACTAGCTTCTCCATTATTAAATTAATGAGAACTGCCTTCATTAACACGAGCGAGAGCAAAGTCGAATACCCAGTCACAACCAACATGGAGACTGTAATTATTGCTTGCTGCTGCTCCTCTCAAACGCCAGGACAGGGAACTTCTCCCTAGGTAAACACCAGTGTAGAAACTCCAGTTGCAAGACCCCTCGCACAGCCACAAACTAAAGCGCCCAGGAAACAGGCAAGGTACCGCATGCTTGGAATTTCTGAATCCCGAATTTCTCAAAAGCTAAATGCCTCTCCTTACAGGTTAGCATTTACATTATTCTGTTTTCAGGACACTGTGTTCCTTCAGTTTCTATAAAGACTGATGTGGGAAGCTAAAGAGCCACTTAACCTGCTGGTCAGGAAAACAGTTCCCTCCCAGGGAAGCTGCTTAAAGGACTTTTACAGCCAGCTCACTCTCTTCTGCTTCTAAGCCTGTGCTCACAGAACTGCAGAAGCCCAAAATTAACCCCCAAAGCTCATCTCCTTTAGAAAAACCTGCAGTGACATAACTACAACAATTTAAAAATACAGTTACACTTCTGCAAATCTTGGTTAAGGCATATTAAACAATTTATGTAATTTATTACCTTTCTGGAGTACAAAAAAGAATACACATGAAAATGAGACTTGACAGAGGTTGCTAGGAAGGTAGAGAGTGATTAGCACTTCACTAGATTAAGAGGGCAGATAACCTTCTTCTCCTTATACTGATCCAAGAACAATTGTTAACTCCCTATCAAGAATAGCCCAAGCCTTCACCTTTGGAAGTGAACTAATGTCCTTCCCTACTAGGCTAATTATAACGCAGTGCAGACGGTCACAATAATTTCATGCTGTGGTAATTGAACCCTCCAAAACTCTTCAACCTACTGCTTTTCTGAGAGAAGTAGGGCAGAAGGAACACCACCTAATTAATTTGAATAATGTTCTAGTAGGTGGTTGTTAAAGTAGTTAATCTTATTAAAGTCACACTAAAAATAAGGTATACTGGAGCAGAACACAGATTAGTGAAATGCAGATAAATTAAGTATACTACTAGCAGATTCTCCAAAGAGATCAGAGAAAATTTAAAAAGTGAAGGCAGATACTACTCCACCATCCCATTCCCTGAGAAACTACACAACAGTATTTGGTGAACTAGTGCGAGTAATAGCTGTAAACTAATAATGAACTACAACTTTCAAAGAATACGTAGATTTTTATGATATATTATCCATCATACTTTTATAGCTACTAATTTGCTTAGCAATTTTAAAAACCCAGTGAGATAAATGTCCATCAACAACAGTGTAAGCCATTAAATTACTTAAGCTGTAAAACAGTATTCAGTTTACTTCAACTCCAAATATCTCTACAACATAAAGAATTACTGTATGGTACAAGGATCATTTTAAAGTTGTTTACTAAAACAAAACAAACAAACAAAGAACCCCAGTGAGAATAGTTACACCACTTCAAAACTAACATAATCCTTTATATCAACTCTGAATCTATTTCAGCTTAACACAAACGTGTCCGAAGACTCGCACATTCAGCAAAACAGGGATACTTTTCTCCCACCAGAATGGACTTCAGCAGACAATGCTAAGGATGATAATCCACAAAGAGAAAAATCAAAATAAATGCATCCCATTACTGAAACATCAAAAATGTCAAACTTACTTTTAAGGAAAACGGTTGTGCAAAATCTACTCTGACACACCCATAATTCTTCCGCAGCATTCTGAAGACTCCTCTAGCTATACTCCAAAGACTTTCATTCTTCTTAGGCTTGCCCTGGAAAACATAGGTGGTTGGTTTGGGTTTCTTCCAATTTGCATTTAAAAGGTTACGTTTAAAATTAAAACGCATGCAACAGCAGACAAAACAAGGCCGAATCTTTTGACACACCTTATGACTTCAAGTAAATCTAGAGAACTTCTGTCTTCCATAGATATCCACTTGGACATATGACTTGTTATGTCATGAACTTGCATTTAGAAGTATGTCAGCCATACCTCAGCACTCCCTACCACAGAGGTTTTTGATTCATGGCTCTATGCTCTTCAACACTAACACCAAGTACAGGTGACAGAGGACTACTAGCACATCATTTAACTACGTAACACATTCTCCTGCACATAAACAGAAAGTCCCCTAGGCAAAACAAAATATTCAATTGCTCTTACCAGCTGTTCGCTGTTATAGTGACCTTCAATTATGCGATCATAGGAGATTCCCACAGGTATAATTAGGACGTCAGGAGTAGCATTTGAGAAGAGAGCATCCACCACCACAGATAAAAGACCTGCTCTAGCTCCAGATGTCTTTCCACTTCGAGACCGTGTGCCTTCCAAGAATATTTCTAAAAACTGCTGCTGTCTCAACAGTTCTTCTATGTGCTGAATACAAAAAGATTGTAAAAGAGGAAAAAATAAGTAGCTAATTATACTGGCAAACTCACATTTGAAATACATTGTCAGCAACCATTTCCTTCTCAAAACACTGGAAAACCATGAGTTGGTATGAATACTTGTGAAAAAAAACCAAAAGCAATAATTAATGCTCAACACAAACTGCAATTGAATTTGCATGAATATACAAGCAATATAATGCCATTTGTTCAACAGCAGCATCTCTAGCAACAGTCAATCTAGCTAATTTGCATACATCCCTCCTTATGGTTCCTAGCACATCCCAGATGCAAATACAGCAGTTATACTAAATAGCACTAAGGATTACATCAACCCATCATAAACAGAGACTTGCATTGTGTTAACAGAATCAGTGTAGATATGCCTCAGTACAAAAGAAATCAAAGAAACAAGGCTTAAATTTAACATTAATTCAGAGACTTTCTTTAATAAGGATTACACAGATGAAAATCTGCTCATCCTCAAAGGCGCTGGGCATTCAATTCTCTTTTATCCTATGCGTTCAAGACTTCATACAAAATGTATCCTTTTTTGCAGCATGAAACCTAAGACAAATTCAAAGCAGTAAAAAACATCCCCAGACTGATGGAACTCACTTTCCCACTCGCCACCCAACTGAAAAGCTACCTACAAAACCAAGAAAGACAGAAATACATACCACGTAGAGCAAAGCTCTGTAGAGAAAGTCCTTACGGCCATCAGGACTCTGATCTAACTTTCGACGAATGAAAAATCCTCCTAGCTTGCGGATCAATGTGCTACACAATAAAGAAGATTTATACTCATTGTTTTAGTTTGCAGGAAACTACTCCACGTCCAGTACAAAATTCCTAGCACACAACAGATACAGAAATTACTGAAATTCTCAAAGACTAAAATGTATTACGCTATTTGCACATGATGGGACCACACAAATATTACTCTGTTTAACTTAAGGAACAGGCTTCTCCACACTGTCTTGCTCCATTTCACTCCCTTGACAGACCACTTACCCTCTGCAGTGACTCTGACCGGGAGATTACTGTACATTAAAATGTCAGTGACCCACGTAACAGTTAACCTGAGCTGGGCCAAGTCTGTGCTGCACATACAGCATGGCCTTTGTGCCCATGTTGTACTGCAAATACCCTTTGGCTGCAGGATCAGCTCTGCCAGCTAAGTTTAACAGAGGAGCCTGCGGGCAGCTCCCACCTGGCACCAACAATTGCATCACCTGCGTGGCCTTGCCTTCATCTAACAGGGCAGCAAGAAGCTTTCATGAGAACATCCTTCCGGCTTGACAGAAGAAATGATGAATAGAGTTGTTTACTTGTAAGAGAATCATGTACTAGCTGAAACAAACAAAATGGGGTAACACTTTCTGCACACGGGGTCAACACAACTTGCTATGCATGGATCGGAGCCCTCCCGAACAGCTCGGTGCTCCCAGTGTCCAAATGGACATTAGATTACTTATGCTAGTCTCTTTCTTTATACTGCTAGCCCTAATAAATATAATTTTAATTGATACTTTCTAAAGTCAGAACGCCTTTCTTACTAGGATCTCATAGACCAGCACCTACTGGTGCAAAACACCCTGTAAATCAAGGTATGCCCCTGTTTCCTCATCATTTCCTGCATCTAGTAGCTTGTCAGAAATCAGTTATCCCCAAATTCTGTCTCACTGGCAAACCTAAAAGACTTTAGGTTCTTCAGCCACTAGAAATATAATTTAAACAGAAACCAAATTGGAGTACTTTCCCACAAAGCATTATTCACTCAGTACTGTTGCTGCCCATTAGCCAGATCATTAAAACTTCATGAAGAAGGGTTATCCATTCATGACACTTTTCCACATACTCATCTTTCCTTAGTCACCTGCCACTTTGAGAGTCCTAGAAGAAAGGAAAATCCTTCTTTACCCTACTTAGGTTATGCCAGAGTTTCTCAGAAGGATCTTATTACGCTCTCTCTCTGAGCATGTAATAGGAACCAAAGTTCTACATGATGGCCCAATAATACTCAGACTATCTTACTTTTGGACATAAGATATATTGCGCAATAGGTCACCTGAAGACCCACCCCCTCAGTCTTTTTCAAAGAAGAAGAGGTTATTACCTGAAGATGGGGATGTTGAGATTGTTCCCTGCAGCAATGTAGGGTGCTTTGATGTTATGGCAGAAAAGAATGAATGTAAGGAGCAGGTAGTCAATGTGAGATTTGTGAACAGGCAAGAAGATAAGAGGCAAATTCATCTGTGGTGGAGAGAGAAGATAAAAAGAGAGAAGGCAGTTGGTAAGAAACATGGAATATTACTCCTTTTCTAAAATCCATCATTGGGATTGCCAGCATCATATTATCAGAATCAACGGTTATTTCTGTTTACCATCATCCAGTTTCTTTACTTCTGGTTTTCATTCAGCTATGACAACAAGAACATTTCAGTCAACTGTACTTCTTAATTTTCATGGACTGTAGTTTTTAGTTGTATGCATTACATTAACAATGATTAATATTCCCAGACTCACAGTATTGAGACAACAATCAAACAAAGGCATGTGGTTAAATCATCAGTGTCATCAAAGTACTGCTATTTCTTTCTATTAGGTATCAGCAAGGATCTATGAATAGTGGGGTTTCTGAACACTGTAATCAAAAGATAACAGAAAATATTAGGAAGTTTTTTTTGTTTGTTTGTTTCATTTATCTAATCCATCTTTCTATGGTAAACCCCGCAAAAGGAATCAATTCCTTTTGAGTGTAAATAAAATGGTAGAATTTACGAGTTATTTTGATCAATTTCAATAAATACCGAAGGACTGGGAACAGATTGCTAATAAGAAATAGGAAAAGTTTATTTCTGAATGATTTTTATTCCAAATTAAGGTAAGAGTGAAAAGTCCTAAGTAGACCTACTAATTTATTACTGGCTGCCTTAGCACAAAAAAAGAAATAATGCTGGATGCAGATTATCCAAGATGATCCTTCAGCCTGATAGTTAAAATTTGATCCTAAAACAAAGGTAAAATCAGAGTTCATATAGCATTTTAGGTTACACAACTCAAAGAAAATTGTATCTAATGAAAAACACTATTTTACAGATATGAGACAGTTCTATCTACAGTCTGGTATCACAGAGACTTAGCAGAGCTCTCCTAAAAAGAGAAAGTGCTGTAAACATAAACTACATGAGAAATCTACCTTACTAGATTCTTTCCTACCCTCCCTTACCTCTGTTGCTGCTTTGACCATTTCTATTTGACCTCTGTGGATCTGAATATTCCAGAAAAAGCTGTTGAACAACTTCAGTAACACCCAGCCAGTCAACCTGAAGGAAGAACAAACACAATTCAAAAAGCTTCATTCATTTCTGCCTCCATTTTTTATTGCTTCTATATGACTAATGGCAAAGCTATAAAATCTAATTACTTTATATTCAAACAAAGTTACTATAAAATCCAGTTTCTTAACAAGTTCTTGCCTATCAGCTAAGCCATGGTTAGTAACCACATTTCAGCCTCCTGCAGTTATGACAAAACTTGTAGCATCAACCTCAGTGAGGGCTGTTCAAAGGGCAGAGACCACTGTACATACGGGGCAACTTAACGCAGGTCCTATGATCAATTGTAGTAACTAAGCTAGCTAGCTGACATGTTAGGTAACAGCATGTATCTGGTCTCGTGGGAGAAATTAATATAGTTACAAAAAATACAGAGTTTGCATCACAACAGTTAGTGAAGGGGACTAGGAACACGACAGAGACTAATTCATCCTTAAGTAGTAAAGGCAGACACCACAGTAGGCGATTTTATCTAAGATAAGACTCTCTTCAAGATATTTATAAGTACAGGTTAAGATTCAATGGGCTACTGGAAAAAAAAAAATCTTTCACAGTCTAAGATGCTGCAGCTAGCTGCTCTCACCCGTATCAGCCTGAAAAAACAAAGGACATTAATATTGGTCTAAGCATTAGCACCAACCCAGTTTCAGGAGGAAAAAAAAAGAAAAAAAAAAGGCTGTATTTAATCTTGTAAGATTTATTCCTTGGAACGGCAGAGGGTTTCTGCTGCACCTGAAAATGAAGAACAACTACCATCTCATTAGTTAACATTAGAAAAGGGATTTTTATGAATAATGTATTATTTTTTAGAATAATTATTCATTATCTATGAATAATGTGTTACAAGCTCTGCTGGTATAATACAGAAAGAGCTTGGCTGCTGTTCTACTCATTGACAATACTGATGAGCCATTTTTCTTACCTGATTAAAGCAGGTGACACATTTGCTACCATTTCCTGCAGAATTTTCCTAGCTTTTTTCTTCACTTTGTTGATAGCTTTAGCATCCGTTTGAGCAAAACTACCCGGAGTACTTGGTTCAGAAGCTTCATCTACAATGGCCTTCTGGACTCTAACATTAAAAATTAAAACTTATGAGACAGTCCCACAACAGAAGAGTTCAAGACAGACAACAACTGCTAGGAATGAGCTATACGTTAGTATAGGAGTGACTTGCAGACATAAAGGAACATACACTGACGTACTGTGTACTCTAAATGCATTACATTTAATTCAGCAGTTTTCTAAACTCTGATTAAACAGCTGGATGATGGATGAATGTGCTCAAAGGTGACCGTATGAAACAGTATGTATGCAGTTCGCAGGTACCAACATTAAGTGACTGCCAATTTTCAGAAACAGTTATTAAGGTTAAAAAGCAGAAAGAACTCGCCTCTTTGTTAATACTTTCTTTTTCCTGCCATAGCAATGTCACTTACCTCAACAGACAGACTTATGCAGTTGCCATTTTGCACTTCTACATATCTTCCCTCTTGAATTCTCAGTTTTACAAAGTGTAACTAAATTTTATAATGGCTATTTTCCTCATTTAAAACATATCTAAGAGAGATGAAGTGGTTTAACACACTGTAACTGTGGCACAATGTGGTCTGCTTTACTTTTCAAAAGCAACACTATCATCTTCAGATGGGACTCAAACATTAAAAATTCAGGAGAGCTGGGAATGTTAACGTAGGCAGTGTGTGCCCTCTGACAAAAGTAGACTCAAGGGGTGGACATGCGGTTGAATTTCTTTGTGTCCAGGGAAAACGAATACCTTAAATAGCTAATCAGGGGCTCAGCATGCCAATTAAAATGCTGTACATGAAGCAGAAAACAAGCTCCACAAAGTAAAGGGTCGTTTTTTCATTCTATAGCGTTTTTCCAGTTTTGCCTCATGCTCTTGGTGTAGTTTTCATGGAAAAAATAGACTGGTTTGGGTTCGAAGGGACCTTAAAGATCATCTAGTTCCAACCCCCCTGCTATGTACACTCAGGCTACTCAGAAATGCTGCTTTCCTGTTATTTCTGAAACACTGACAATTTCTGATGACTGCAGTAGGACTTTAGTGGGAATGATTTACATGAATTAGATAAACTTTTGAAGAGTTCCCATGTAACAATTCATTTTTCTGTGTACTGTCTGCTGTCCACCCACTATGCATCATTCATTTGGAGATCTGCAATTCTTAATCTCCCCTCTTCTACTATTCAAACAGAAATTGCAAGCTAAAAGGCTGTGCTGACCGTATCTTCTAACATTTTAAACAGTCCGATTTTCAAAACCTGCCATTTCCAAATTCTTAAATCATATTATAATGTATCAGTCATTCAAAAACTAAGTTTATTTTGCATTATCTTACCTGCTGTTATTCAGCACATTTTCTGTCAGATTCTTGGCAAACATACCCTTATGAACATCCCTCTCTTGCACAAAAAGGACATAACAAAAGCGTCTTGCAAGCCACCCTCTGTACCTACAAAAATATGAAGGATATCTGAGAGTGACTCTCAAAATATTTCACTGCCAAAAAAAAAAAAGACTATTAAAAACACCTACAAATACAATTAAGAAGCAAAAGCAAGTAAAGTTTTATGAAGGGCTGCCTAAAAGCTTCAGTATCATCTAGTAAATTATCAACATGTTAATGTTAAGGATGAAATAACTGATGCATGGTGCAAAATATCTGAGACAACTGAGGTCTGCATTACTTCAATTCAGGGCAATACTGGCCTTAAAATATCCCTAATATCCCAGGAAAGTAGCTACAAACCAGCATATACATTTTGTCTGTCCGCTGGAACCGACTGCTCAGCTCAGCAAGGACAAAGGAAGATGTTGTGCCGATTTCTGATTTGGTGACTTTCCACCAAGGAATGTAAATTCTGAGCTAAGAGGTTTGTAAACTCCTTCAAGAAACACTGAGTTCTCTTGGGAAAGTTGCTCACATTGTATGCACAGGGTCAACTCTCACAGACACTTCTGAAAATACGTTTGCATCAGCCACCGACATTAAAGGCACTTTTTTTTGTTATCTTTTCTTCCTTTCCAGTGCTTTAAACACCCAGCCCTACGTGCCTCCTATGTACTTTCTCCTTTCAAAGTTTCAACAGGAGTAGAACCACTAAATAATCAGTAAATCTCTCTACAAATTCTAAGTAATGCAACTTAGCTTGTGTGGCCAGTCTCCTTTTAAATTAACCCTTTCCTCTACTCTCTGGATCATATAAGAAGCAATCACCTAAGAAAATATTATTTTGAACAGTTTTCCTAACATCACAGAAGACGCACGTGATATGGGAAGGGCTAAAATCCAGTCCCCAGCAGTGAATATTCATGACTATTTTCTCTCCTCACCACCCTCACTCACCAGGCCAGGCCCGGACAAGCCACCACTCACGCGGGTCACTCCACAAACCAAACATAGCTGGGACCCCCGAACAGCAGAGCTGACGTGATGGGGCAGAATTAACAGTTGGAAGAAGAAATTAAATTCTGGCCATTCCTAAGATCAGAGCACTCAGTATTATGCAAAACCCCTGTCCTGAGGACTGCTGGTGCAATGCATCGCTGATGTTTCAGCAAGCGTCCCAAACCGAACCGTGGGTGGCAATGCTCATGTCGGTTTCCACACTGGAGTGCCGCCAAGGTCTCGCTGCTTACTGATCTTGGCTGTTACACCTCCCTATCACATCTCAGTAAATTTATACATGTGTTACAACCAGCTAGGAAAGATGAGAAGGAACTTTTACACTGCAAAAACCCAAACCACCTGAGCGCGCAGGCGACTCACAGTATAATTAAGATGAGTGCACATGCAGAAGCCATCGGCACCGTCGGACATGTAACAGTTACACAAACATTCTGACTGTCTCTAAGGACAAAGAATTTTGCTATTCATGCTGTCAGGGAAGTAGACCAGTGATTGTTTTAATTGCTTTTCCACTTTCCCCTTCTCATTGGAGTTTGCGAGCCTTACTGATTTTTCTAAGTAAGTTTCTAGGTAAGTTAAGGATATGCTTCTTTCTGACAACGATTTGGTAACTATGAACATATCATCACAACAGCATACAGTTATTGGAGGGATCTGTCAAGGTATAAAGGCTTCTACATTCATTTGTACAGCTTAGATTTTGCTAATTACACTAGGTCATATCTGTTTTCTAATCTTGTAGCAATGATAGAAGATAAAACCCACACAGAATAGACCTAGTCAAGATATATTACGAGACTGACATATTCACACCTCAGAAAAAGGCTGTGGTAATGTCTCAGTACAGGTACAGTACGCTAGCAGTGAAACAGAATCCCTCTTGCTTTCTAAGGCCAAGGAACTGTGACTGTGTAACCCCATGGGACCTCAGAACTTCATTAAAATTGTCAATTTTCAGACTATAATGACATTCTGAGCTAAAGGCATTTTATTTCAGAATAATTCATTAACCCATATTTTGTTGCCCTTGTATTTCTAATTTAAGTAGTTCTGACCATTCAAACGCATTCAAACATTAGACTTTTGAAACCAATTTTTTAAAAATTATGTTAAACACTATTTCTGTGATTTTTCTGTATTCTGAACTACAAGCTCAACCCTTAAAAAAACTGTAATTAATTCAAATTGAAGAAAGAACAGCCTCTAACATTAGCTTCCTCCCTCTCAAGCATAGCACAATGCTGTCTTTCTTCTACTCAGACGCTTTGGCTCATTTCTTTCAGGCTGCTGGCCACTCTTTGTTTGCTCTGACTCTAACAAATACTGCAGGACCTGCTTATGCTAATGATTACTGTAAAAACCTTCAGCAAACATTATTAACTTTCCAAAAAACAGAATAAAGATTTTTTTTTTGTACTTCCAGTATCTTCATCCCAGAACACAAGATATATTTCCAATAGCACAAAGATACATCATAATTTTTAGGTCATATACACCATCCTTCAGGAGCTGCACTCTGCCACAGAGGCAGAGGAGAGACAGTCTCACAAAACATGTTCAGATTTAATTGTCATTAGTGATAATAGTCAATGCCTAAATGGTGAGCCAGATCTGCTCAGTAAATTAAAATGCAGCCTGAAGTCATTCTTAAGCATGGGAATAAAACAGCTCCTCTCAGCATTATGCTACAGATGCTGCCATCTGCACTAAAGGAGAAAGGATTTAAACATGCTCTGTTTTTTGGAAAACAGATTTGACCCTTACACTCCTTGTCTGTAACTCCAAAGGACTTTGCTCAGCTCCCAAAAACACACAGCTGGATTTAACAAGTACATCATTTTCCTGAAGTCAGCACCAATTCCTGCATTTTAGGACAGCAATATATATTCACTCAGTCCAGATTATCCCAGAGATTTCCCTGTCATACGATCAGAACACACTGAATTTTAAAAGCAAAAGAAAGACTTACTACATTACCTGGTATGTGTTTCATTGATATATATGACATTACGTAGACCCAAAGAAGGAATACTAGCATTGAAGAAGTTATCCTGTAAAACCAAGAAGAAAAGGATGTGGACTATTTTGTTACATAAGAATAGTTGTGTCTTTACATTCATCATAACTTTTAAGATAATGCAATGATTTTCACCTCTATCATAAATGAAAGCCAAAGCAGAGAAGTGCTGAACTGGCTTATAAAGTACACGCAAACTGTTCTGAAATGAAAATGAAATTTAGGAAGTCACTATTCCCAACTCCAATACTTTCAAAGTATTCTCTAGGCTTTACAGCACACAGAAATGGTTTTATTGCTTGTATTCATCAAGCCAGAATATTCTACCATATTCTGATGTAATATAAACCAGGACTTGTCATAATACAGAACTCATCTTTGAGACAGAACTTTATTAGGCTGCATTCAGCATTAGTATAATCATGAGTCTTTTGAGGCTCAGTCTGTGACAACCCGTTTGCCAGCAGATCAGGCATCACATAACAGCAGCCCAAGGGTCAGGATATCCATCCATGGTGAGGTGGCAAATCT